AAACTAATAATTCAGTCAATTTTTTCCTTTAAAATTAGCTGAAATCATTTACTATACTCTGAAATAAGGATCTTCATTCAGATGCTTAATTAATTCCTAAACAGTATGAATAATTTGTTGGTGTAGTAGATAATTCTTGCTTGCTACTGTGCAATGAAGCTAAAAAGTGCCTATTTAATCTCAGCTGAGATTATTATATAGAAATTGGTGTCATCTCAATGCATCTGGCCCGTGAATGTGAGGCAGCACACGGTGGGTTTCCAAGCCAGCTGTCAGCAAACTGCTCTTCCTCTGAGCTCTCTTTCATGTGCTAGGATTGTTGACATCTTATTTTCAACATCCCCTCTACATGCTTCAGATTCAGACGGCCTTAACTTACGTTTACACACACATAGACACAGGCAAAATTACATACACAGACACACAGAGACAGGCACAGACACACTCTCGTGTGTAGTTTCCTTCTACCAATAGTATTCCTGTTTTCTTTATAACCTCATGAATTTTCAGAAAATAAAAAGCAGCTACTTTGTACAAAAATGTTGAGAACATCGAAAGTATATGCTATTTTGATTGTGCAGTTAGATACAGATAAATACAGTGTTTTTCTCTCCATCTCTGCTCTTGCCTTAGATCGGGGTTGCCAAGGTGATGGTACAGCACAGAGCATTTGTTTTTATGTGGCTCAGTGAGTTCACGCTGAAAGCCAAAGCGATACGAGCAACTTCTTGCGCTGAGAATCATTATCTCTGTATTATTTTTGTTGTCATTCTCTGGCTACATGTTCCTGCTCTGCATGTTTTAAAGAGTGTAGGAAGATTTTTGTGCTCACTTTGGCGGCCTGATACCTGGGGGTGGCTGTGTAGATAAATATTTACTCAGATAAGAGCTGGCAAATGTGTTGTCAGTGTTTACGAAAATGTGTGATTCTAACACGTCCCTTTGTAGTGAGATGGATTCTCTGAGAAAAACCCAGGAAGACATCGCTAGATGCCCTCTGGGTCCATGAGTGATCAAAGATACTATACGGTTTTAGGAGATATAATTAAACATACATGATTACAGATCTAACTAAAGTCAGGCTTGTGTAAAAGTTTGGGATTATTCTTCCTCAAGGAAATGTGATACCGTTATAGACCATTGAGCTGATATTAACGCAGAAAGCTTTTATGAGGGCTCGTACTCCCATCCTGTTTTATATCGTAGAACATGCAAGGAAGTCAATGTCTTATCCTCATGTTTGCAAAGACAGTGCTCATGCAAAACTATTGGCTGGTCATTCATTCTCTCAGTGATTAACTGTGTATCGACTATCTGTTTGTCAAACTCTGCTAAGAAACCAGGGATGTGAATATTATTTTAAATCCAACATGTTCTCTGTCTTCATGGACCTTAGAGCTTAGTTAGGGCAGACAGACATGAATCACATAATAACTCAAAGAAATATACAATTGCAACAGGACAATGATGGGTCAGCCCATAACAGGGGCATATGACCAGGAGCCCAGGGAAGGCTTTCCAAAGAAAGAACACAGCAAGATCTGAAAACAGGGCTACAATCACCAGGCAAGAAGGGTTACTGGGCTAAGAAAACAATCATGCAGAGACTGCTGTGGGCAGGAGTCTGGCAGGTATGTGGCTAGGAGGAGGTCAGAGCACTGGGGTTGAGATGGGGAAACAGGGGGATAAAGGGGTGACTGGAGGGGCATTTCTAGGCAAGCCCAGGCTAGAACTTGGGTGGGCTCTGTTAAAACAAACAAACAAAAACAAAAACAAACCTGTCTTTATTTCTATGGAAACTAAAAGCCATTTAAGGGTCTTGGATTTCTACTGGGGGGAGATCAGATGGATGTAGCTAGACCAGTTTGTTTTTTCTTTTCTTTATTTTTTTTGAGATGAAGTCTTATTCTGTTGCCCAGGCTGGAGTGCAGTGGCACGATCTTGGCTCACAGTAACCTCCACCTCCCAGATTCATGAGATTCTCCTGCCTCAGCCTCCTGAATAGCTGGGACTACAGGCGTGCACCACCACCCTGTAGGCATGCACCACCACCGGTTAATTTTTGTATTTTCAGTAGAGACAGGGCTTTACCATGTTGGCCAGGCTGGTCTCGAACTCCTGACCTTGTGATCCATCTGCCTCAGCCACCCAAAGTGCTGGGATTACTGGTGTGAGCCACCGTGCCTGGCCTCAGTTTGCTCTTATATTTTAGTACTTGAGGGCATAGTTTGCTCTAGTGTGGAAGTAGTGGATAAGAGGAAAATGGAACACATTCAAGCGATATTTAGGAGGCAAAATAAAATAAAACGCAGAAATGAGCAAGGTACAAAGAGTGAGGGAGAAGAAGGGGTCAATGCTAGTTTTCTGAGTTGCACAAATAAATATACAGCACTGCCATGAATTGAGACAAGGGACAATGGAGGACAGCCAGTGTGGTGAAGGGGGATCCTTGGCTGGGTTTCAGACATGTTGGGTTTGAGATTACTTGAAACATCTAGAGCATATTTTACGAAGACAGTGTGCATGAATTTAGATCCTAGAGGTACATTTGGGTGGAGATGTAATTTGTGGGTCTTCTGCATAGAGATAACAGTTGAAGGCACAGGTACTGGTGAAATCATCCGGGGAGCTTAGTGTGAATCCATGTGACATGACAATGGTGATAGTTTTCTGCTTATTTTGAATGAATAAATAACTACTAATTCATTTACATCTAAACCTTATGAAGTGACTTACACAGATTTAAAATCTTCTCGAGTAATCATTCACATTTATGTACCTGCAATAGATATTCAAAAATGGCAGGGTTATCCACAGCCTAGAAAAATTAGGTGTCGGAGAGGAGAACCTTGCTATCTCATCAAAGCTCAGAAGGGAGTGGGGATGAAAGCTAACTCCCTCCTTATTTGAATCTGCTAAAACCATCTCACAAAGCAAACACGTGTAACCTAAAACATTCTACTCCTTTAAATTGGCTTAAAGTTTAAAAAAATGTTTGAAAAAATGTGGTTGGAAAATTTGTCAAATCTTACGGACACGAAACTTAAATATGCTTGGACTGTAATCAAACAGAACCCTCTGAGCTGCCTCATCTTCCTGCAAGGAGCAAAATCTACTTACATACATTTTTCACATTAATTAGTAGTGAATTCCAATACCAGTTGCTTACCCAATGTGCATTACATTGCAGTCCAGCAGAAAGCATTTGTCCTTCTGGCCATCCCTGGGTGAATCTAAGATTGGAGTGATTTATTCTAGGGAAGCATTGCTGGGATGGGGAATAGACAGGGTCTGTGATTAGCAGGTTCTCAGTGGGTGCCTTGTGGAAAAGAAGATTATACATTTCTCATGAATTATGAGCAATGCATAATAAATGTTACTTCATCTCTGTACCACATTTTTCCCAGTTAAATAATAAATATGAATTGCTACCTGTGAAATATTTAAATATGAAATTGTTATTTATTAATTACTGTGGAGCAGAAATCACATAGTAGCTACGTAATATTGGATAAACTGTTGTATGTTATTTCACCTCTTAGGTTGTCTCTTTGCCCCAATTTTAGGTGGCTCCATAGGTAAGGTGACCTCCCAAGTGAAAGCTGTCTTTCTAATTCCAGTAACACAAACACCGGTGCAAACTATGGAGGATGCACATTTGATCCATGATGGCAGAAATACTAGTGCTACTTGAAAATTCATATGCTAAACTCAAGTTTTCTTTATAAGAAATTGTTCTAAAGCATAAAAAAAGTAGGAAGGAAAAAACAAAACACTTCTCTGAGCTTACACATGGGGTAAAAGATTCACTGAAAATCTGGGAGGTGTTAGGTTGGCTAAACCACAGACCTGGCTTGTGACTCTTCCTGCCACCTGTTAGGTTGTTTCATGACTGGAATGTGATGCTTCCCTCCAGTTAAGAACTCCACAGCTTCACATTTTAAAAAGCCACTAATATAGGCAAACTGAGAACCAGAGTGTAGAGAGCATGGGTTTTGCAGGGTTTGTGGCTTGGATTTACCATTGATTGGCTCTGTGGCCTTGGACACTTTCCCACTTCCTGTGGAGTATCTGTTTCCATACCTGAGAAGCCTTCTGCTCCGGTATTCTTGGATCAGGTTTCCATAGGTCATCTCTGGGTGCTCTGTGTTAGCTGAGCCTGTGTACGGCTGCACCCTTTGCTGCTAGGTGGCTCTGTAGAGCTAGAGAGGCTGTTGAACCCAGGTGTGAAGAGAAATGTCTGCAGAAACTGAACCTTCGTTCCGGCATTTTCTAAGAGGAGTGTGCAGCCTTCCCCATGGATCCTGCTGTTTACTGGGAAGATTTGCTTTGCAAAGGTCTGCTCAGCTGTCTGCTTCGAAAGCATGCTTCTCCATTTCATCATAGGATTTCTGAAGAAAATGCAAGCCTTTCTGTCTTCAGTTGCTCTGCTTCAAGAGAAACCTTTCTGAAATGGAAGCTTTGGAAATACCTTCTGGATCAGTTGCACAGAGGGGATACCTAGGTCTGAAAAAGTCTAATTCCAGGATTAAAACAAGACACATTACTTCTCATCCATCCCCGGCATTAAAATTAATTCATTTCAAGTATGATGATCATATTACATCAAATATGCCATCCTTTGACTCCTTCAGATAGGAAACGTCTCCCTGTTCTGAAATGTAAATAAGCATGTGGTCACTTGTAATCTACTTACTATGGTTGTAATCTTAATTATTACTCTAACTTCATTTACTTTAAACATTTTAATGAGTAGAAGAGTGATTTCAACAAGCAGAAAGCATCGACTCAAGAGGCTCCCTGGGAAAAGGGCCAGCATCATGACCCCTTCTGGGTGGGCTTTGCAAAAAATATCTCAGCGCTTCTGATTTTCATTTGTGATACATAGTGGTTGGGGCCAGTGAAATTCACAATTTCAACTGAAGCAATTGCTAATTCTTCAAACATTTTATTTTACTCAGCAGCACAAAAAATAACCAACTTGATTTTGTGCCTTCCAGGTATATTCATTTCAACCAACTAGAAACGCTGCAGCCAGAGACCTTTGGAGACCTTCTGAAATTAGAGCGACTGTAAGTGTTGACCCTTTAGATGTCTTTGCTTCTGCTTTACATTTTCCATTTATACAACCCATCTGACTGCTGTGGAGATCAGGCCACTTTGCTGTAAGCTTTGGAGGCACAGCCTGTACCTTGGCACTGTAAAACAGAGTTAATATAAAGCTTTCTATAGTTTGAGATTAATGGAGAAAAAGTGAATTATCCAATTTAAAAATAGGGCAAAAGAGAGGAAGAAGCACTTCACAAATGAGGTAAAGCCATTTAAAAAACTTGCATCAGAGTCTGGGCACAGTGGCTCACGCCTGTAATCCCAGCACTTTGGGAAGCTGAGGTAGGCGGATCACCTGAGGTCAGGAGTTCGATACCAGCCTGGCCAACATGGTGAAACCCAGTCTGTACTAAAAATGTGAAAAAGTAGCTGGGCATGGTGGCATGCACCTGTAATACCAGCTACTCAGGAGGGTGAGGCAGGAGAATCGCTTGAGCCTGTGAGGCAGATATTACAGTGAGCTGAGATCAAACCACTCCACTTCAGCCCGGGNAAAAAAAAAAAAAAAAAAAAAAAAAAAAGCTTACAGCAGAATTTAGTGCAGTTGAACATACACATCCCCTATGACCTAGCAGTTCCACTTTCAGGCATGTACACAGCAAAAATGCACACACGTATGCACCAGAGGATGTGTTCTTGTCTTTGCAGCAAGATTATTTCTGGTAGCTCCACACTGAGAACTATTCAAATCTCCGACAATGAGAGTAGAGAAATAAGCTGATGTATGGAATACCATAACTGCAACATGGATGGATCTCAGAAACATTCTGAGAAAAATAATCTAAATGCTGGGAATTGCATAGTTCTATTTTATCCTCGAAATAAATTTAAAAAGAGATAGCAGAAACATATGTGGTATTGAGGTCAAATGTTGCTTACCTTTGGTGAAAGAGAGGCCATTGGAAACTGCAGGAGGAACCTCTGCAGGCCTGGCAATGATTTTGTCTTTTTGTTTTTCCTGGGCGGTAATCACACAGCTGTGTTCACTTTCGGGCAAGGCATTGTGCTGTCTATCACGATGTCTGCACTTTTTCGGATGAATGTTGTATTTCAATGAAGGCTTATTAAATAAACAATGGCAAACCACAGGGACACTTGGACATCCTTCTTCTGTTTTGCCTTTTATCAGATGAAGATACTCTGCTGCTTCAGTTTTTCTAATACTTATGTTAATAAATTTATTGTATCTAGCAGATGATATGCAATGTTTTTGTGAAAAGAAAGAAAATGCATAATTACGTGGCTAACCTTAAACAGACATTCGTTTTCCCTAAAAAAAATTTGAATTAAAAATTTATGTTCAAAAAAGGATGCCCTTAATTAATAGACAAAGTAGATCAGTAAAATTAAAGACTAAGAAGAGCCAGTCAACCACTTTCTAACGCAGTGACTGCAGCCTTATTTGCCTATGGAAGTGTAACAGCTGCAATGCATAAAATCACGCAGCTGACTTTTGTTTGCTTTGTGCTGGAGGCGTTGGATCACGAATCAGAAACAAGGTAGGAAAGTGCGTTGTACCACTCCTTTTCTGCTCTAACCTGTGTGAGCAGGGAGCCAACCCTGTGCATGGTAGCCGTGGTGCAAGACACATGGATTGGTCAAGCTTTAGCATCACGATGGTTAATAACTTCAAAACTCATGGGATGCCATGAGCAAGTGGGAGCTGATAGTCCAGGAACAGGGGGGACTCAGTGGATGGAAAATTGCTCAGAGGAAACATTAGGGGAAAGAGGAACTAAGGGCGAACCTATTTAGCAGGATTCTTGGTGACGATCAGTCACCTGAGAAATGATGGGGATGAGAAATTTCAGATGTCAAGGGTGGGAGGTGCTGGTTAAACTTTTACTTACCAGGGTTCTTGCTAAAATTGGACAATGTAGAGATGGACAAGGAAATCTAAAAGTCAGGTCTAGCTGGAAAAGAGCTCAGGAGAACCTGAGCAGAGTTTTGTTAAGAAGATCGGAGGATGGAGGCAGCAAACCACATTGCCATGTATGTACCTATGCAACAATCCTGCATGTTCTGCACATGTACCCCAGAACCTAAAGTGCAATAAAATATATAAAGAAGAGAGTCTTTGTCAATACCCACCTTCACTTCATTTCTTCTCTAGGCACTGCTTCTGAGGTTGGCGAATTGGATGGGGCAGGTAAAGATAAGCACAGAGAATCAAAATAGGAAGCATCAGGAAAATTTTTTTTTTTTTTTTTTGAGACGGAGTTTCACTCTTGTTACCCAGGCTGAAGTGCAATGGCGCGATCTCGGCTCACCGCAACCTCCGCCTCCTGGGTTCAGGCAATTCTCCTGCCTCAACCTCCTGAGTAGCTGGGATTACAGGCACGCACCACCATGCCCAGCTAATTTTTTGTAGTTTTAGTAGAGACGGGGTTTCACCGTGTTGACCAGGATGGTCTCGATCTCTTGACCTTGTGATCCACCCGCCTCGGCCTCCCAAAGTGCTGGGATTACAGGCTTGAGCCACCGCGCCCAGCCAGGAAAATTTTTTATCTTCTCAGATGTGCATCGATGAAATTCACCTTCCCAAAACAGTAGATACAGTTTGGCCCCAGCTCACTCCCCCAACCTTAACACTTAATAGAGTTAAAATAAAGCCAAAATGCTGATAAGAAAATATAGCCACATGATTTTGTTTAATTTTGTGACAGAGATACTAGTCATGATGTAGAGCATGTAAAAGAGGCTGGATGTAGCTAATTGTTAATTTTAAGATATAAATTGATTATTTATGCTTATATCCTTGAGTCTTAAGAAAAATGCCTCCATCTTTCCTCTGTATTGCAGAGATCATCGTGTTTTCTCTCTTCACACGTGGGCTCTTTGCTGACTATGTATTCAGTGGTTCTGGTGACTAGACAGTCCCTGGCTGGTGCTTTTCTCGGTCATAATTTCTCTGGTCATAACGAGGGAAATGGGTATAGCCGAGGCAGCATGGAGGGAGCCGAAGCCAGTGCAGGACTGCTCGGGTGGAGGGAGCGGGAAAAGCACGGCGGCCTGGATCTTCTCCTCCTGCCGCCACCTTCCGTCATCTCCCAGGGGGCAGGGCCTTGTAAGTGCCCGTCTCTGTGATCCTGCCCCAGGCATGTAGAAATGGCCGGCTGAGCAGCGGCCACAGCAGCACCCAATGGGACTTTTGATCAGCAAAACTGTCCTGGCCAGTAAGCAACAGGCAGAGTTGGCACGTTTCCACGTGATCCCACATATGCACGGTCACATCAGTTACTGTTCTTCATCTATAGGCATCTGTTGTCAAAAATTATTGTGCCTTTTCTTTTTTTTTTTTCTTGGAGTCTTGCTCTGTCGCCCAGGCTGGAGTGGAGGGGTACAATCTCGGCTCACTGCAACCTCTGCCTCCCAGGTTCAAGCGATTCTCATGCCTTAGCCTCCGGAATAGCTGGGATTACAGGCACCCACCACCATGCCTAGCTAATCTTTGTATTTTGAGTAGAGACAGCGTTTCACCATGTTGGCCAGGCTGGTCTTGAATTGCTGACCTCAAGTGATCCACCCACCTTGGCTTCCCAAAGTTCTGGGATTATAGGCATGAGCCACCGTGCCCGGCCTGTGCCATTATTTTTAAATTTAAAATATTTGGTTTACAAATAAAAATTGTATGCATTCAAGGTGTATAACATGCTGATTTGATATATGTATACATTGCGTGCTGATAATGAGTACGTTGTCTATTACTTTGACTTCTTCATAGTTAAATATTTATTTTTATGGATTTCTCTTTAGCATTTGTCATCTCTAACTAAGCAAACTAAAAAAAATCAGAAGTACACAGATGAAAAAATACCCATATAGTGGTAGATACAGATATGTAAATCTTTAAAACAGACGGTTGTATAAATGACACTCTGACTTACGTTTGCCCTTTCTCACTGAAATATTTCAAAAAAATATATTGGATTCACAGTTAGGTAAAAAGAAAGGTTTTATTTGTCAAACTCATTATTATTGTATGGTGATTAAAGTTTATCTTTTGTTTTGCAGATTCTTGCATAACAACAAATTATCTAAAATCCCGGCTGGGAGCTTTTTAAATCTGGATTCATTAAAAAGATTGTAAGTGAAAGCAAGTACATAAACATAGAAATCTTATAATTTTCTCTAAAATAAATTCCAAACAATGGTTGGTTTCCTTCTCCTGCTTTTGACTGTGAAAGACATTGCAATGCTTGCATGTTAGGGAGAAAATGGTTTGTTAACTGCAGAGCGATAGAGATCCCAGATAGTCTACTGGTCTTTCATGTATTCTCTTAGAAGTGGCCTTCAAAAGGAGTATCAAAAATAGAAGTTTTCCTCAGTTCTCTGTAATATCCTTGCTGCTTAAATCTAAAGACTCCCAAGAGTTCTTTTTCCTTTAACTTTTTTATGAGAAAAGAGATGTGAAATATTTCAAAAAAGCCTGACTCCTCTGGCCAGGCTTCAGTTTTCCCTGTTGTATGGAGCTGTCTTCCTACTGATTTCCTCCTACATTAAGCAAAACACAACCAAATCCCCACGCTCACATGGTCTCTGTTCTCCATGGCTCCCTGCTCTGGTCTGTGGGCCGGTGGTCCCCCCCTTTTTTTTCTGCCTGTATCTCAACCCTCCTTTGTTCCAGCTCTCTCCACACTCCCATCTGTGTGTAGCCTTCTGCACTGTTGATGTTTTTATTTTGTGGTTACCCACCTCCCTCACTAATCCTCAGCCCCAAGCCCAAGAATAAGTTCTGGTTATTGGAAAAGATCAGATGCCTGCTTCCCAGATGGCAGTCAGAGAGCACATGGTGGGAAACTCACACAGGTGTATCCATCACCTGCCGTGCAGTCTGTGTTAGTCTCTTCTCACACTGCCAATAAAGACATACCCATGACTGGGTAACTTATAAAGAAAAAAGTTTAATGGACTCAGAGTTCCTCATGGCTGGAGAGGCCTCACAATCATGGCAGAAGATGAAGAGAGAGCAAAGGAATGTCTTACATGGCAGCAGGCAAGAGAGCCTGTTCAGAGAACTCCCACTTATAAAACCATCAGATCTCATGAGACTTATTCACTATCATGACAATAGTACGGGGAAAACTGTTATTCAGTTATCTTTGCCTGGCCCCACCATTGACGTGTAGGGATTTTTACAATCAAGATGAGATTTGGGTGGGGACACAGCCAAACCATATCAGAGGCTGACAGAGTTTGGACGTTGTCCCCTCTAAGTCTCATGTTGAATTGTAATCCCCAGTGTCAGAGGTGGGGCATGATGGGAGGTTCACGAAGGCAGATCCTTCATGGCTTGGTGCTGTCCTCCCAACATTGAGTTTGTGGTCTTGAGATCTGGTCATTGTAAAGTGTGGCACCCTCAACCCTTTCCCCTGCTTTCGCCATGTGAAGTGCCTGCTTCCGCTCCTCCATGAGTAAAAGCTTCCTGAGGCCTCCTCTGCAGCTAACACTGGCAGTATACTTCCTGTACAGCCTACAGAATCATGAGTCAATTAAATCTCTTTTCTTATAAATCACCCAGTCTTAGGTATTTCTTTACAGCAATGCAAGAATAGCCCAATACAGAGGCCACTTTTGTTGTGGTTGCTTTTCTAACATTGCGTTCCTAGACACGTCCATGAGCAAGAGAATGCTATGATTAAGTAAAAATCTGCGCCCTGAGGAAAATAAATCCAGGCCCAATTGATGCCTGGAAATAATGCTCGCAATCTTTGACTTTAAGGAATCACGCATAATCAAAGAGACATTTATAATGGAGGTATATACCATACATCTCTTTGGCGATCTGTTTTATTTTATGAGGAACAATATGCTAGACAGAATAATCCACTCCTAATCCTTTTCTTCAAGTCCTTATTTCCTGCTTTCTTGGTAATTTTCATGTCAGGCATACATAATGCTGCTTCCCAGTCTTCTTGATGTGCTTTGATTGTATTCAAACCCTCAGAAGTCTTGGTTGATGACCATCTCTCTCTCTCTCTCTCTCACTCTCTCTCTCTCTCTAAAAGGGTACAAGTGCAGATTTGTTACATAGATATATAGCATAGTGGTGAAGTCTGGGCTTTCAGTGTGACCATCACCCTAATAATGTGCACTGCACCCATTAGGTAATGTCTCATCCCTCACCCTCACTCCACCCTCCCACTTTTCGGAGTCTCCAGTGTCTATTATTTCACTCTCTGTCCTCGTGCATGCATTATTTAACTCTCACTTGTAAGTGAAAACATGAGATATTTGACTTTCTGTTTCTGAGTCATTTCATTAAAGATAATATCTTCCAGTTCCATCCATGAGGACTCTGCTTTTCGCCGAAGTTTCCTTGCTTGTCAGAACTGGCTGCACCAACTATTTGGAATAACACATCCCTTTGTTCCTGTTTATCAATCCTATGTGGGAAATGCAAAATGCATGTTGGTGGTGGGAGAAATATTGTGTATTATTTTCTACCTGTCCACTTTCTCTCTCTCCCTTTTTTTTTTTTTCGATTTGTTGTGTCAGTTATGGTTACAGTCACTGTCTTTGTATATTTGCAATTATAATTCCCATGCAGTGTTTCTTGTCTACATAAATTTCTATCTGGGTCATTCTGGCTTTCTATGACTCAGAGAAAGTCCTGAAGTGCCAGAGCCCTTACATTTTTTTCTAATCTCTTTTTATTATTTTTTTCCTGTTAAATTTTAGTAGCTGCTTTTTTGTTCCAGCCTCTTACAGTTACTGAAACAGCATACACTCCATTTCTGGAACACACATATGAAAAAAATAAATGCCAGTAAAGAGGCCGAGAGAGCCCTCCTTACAGTGATGTGCCAGCATACCCCTTAAATGCATGCACTGTGCTTATTCCAAATGTTTTAAGGTGATTGTTTTAGTTTGTTATGTTGATGAAGTATCTTTATTTTATGAATTTATTTTATGGGTAACTGACATACAGATGACTTGAGCAAATTGCTCAAGGTCCATGAAATCCCAATGGGTCCAAGACGGGGTGGAAACTGGGCACCTGTGTATTCCAAATCCTCAACTTGTGTCCTATTCAGGCTACAATTCAGATGAGAACAACAGAACATGGGAGAGTGATAGAGGGCTACACCTACTATTAAATAAATCCACCTTCAACAATAAAGTTTTTCAGCTGAGGAGTGTTCATTCACTGATAGCATGTGAAGGCAGAGAAACCCGTGAGAATTCTGCCCTTGACTCCAGGCGTGGCACTTTGAAGGTCACCTGATGCTGAGCTCTCCGTCTGTACCATAGCCTTTCTAACTAACCACACTTCTCACAAGTGGATGGTCAAAATCAATAAACTGTCCTTTTAAAAGTATTTTTTGATCTTTAAGCGAAAGGGATTGTGTAAGTACAAGCGATGTGTTTCTCTGTTTTCAAATAGAAAAGATTAATTTACCTGGCACCCCTTGTTTCCTTTGGAATTTTTACCTGAGCACAGAATATATCCAAGTGAGTAACTATTTTAGTGCTGTGATTCTTGACTGAATACCATCAGAGGGGCGTTTATTTATTATACTTGATATGATATTTGATGTAAGAGCACTTTCAAAATGGAAAACAGTAAAATGATAATGATTTTAAACATACTGCATTTAATATTTAATATAGTCTAATAAAGATTCATAAGAACCACCTTTCTTATTGATATACTCTATTGCTTCTTAGTTTTCAATATTGATGGCTCTAAATTACAGGCAGCATTTTGAAATTGTCTTCTCATGATAAATTTGAAAATTATTTCTAAAGATTCCTCAGATTATCATGTAAAAGTATAATTCTGCTACTAGATTATTTTCCAAACATAAAAGGTGAAAATCTGTATCCTTCCGTTACTTTCTTCGGTGTTTTGCATCTCCAGTATGGATGAATATCTTAGGTTGAAAATAATAATTAGAAATGAAATCTTGTGCTCAGTGTTTATCAAAACACACAGCATGAGAATGCATAAGGGAAAGTAAGACTGTGGACTAACTGAAGGAAGGTGATGAGTAAGCAGTGATGACTTCTGGGAAATGGGGCAATTGCACGGTGAGGCGGCCATGCTCGGGATGCTCCCAGGAGATGTGTACTCACATCCTTGCTTATGTTTAACTTAGAGGTACATCACGGTGATGCTGAAGTGTGAACTTACTCCTTTATATTTAACGACTGTCCATTCTTTTTTAATAAATTTACCAGAAATTTAAAAATAATTTTAATAAAATTACCAGAAATTAAACTCAAAATGTGAAAGTGAACTTTGAACATAATACTGCTGAAATAGATGTTTCATAGCTACATAGCTGGTATAACAAATCATTCAGTGACAAGGAACAGCCAGGGCCAACGGAACCAACAGGGCTCCCCTGAACAAGTACCAGTTGACTTTTACGACTTATACCTCACTCCAGACAAGGCTGACAGAACTCCCTGCTTTACCTATGGCTTTCTTTTCTCACATTACTGTGAAGTCTTGTTGGAAACATGAACCAAATCATATCTATATGATTAACTAATTTTTCAATTAAGTGCATTTCCCCCCTTTATTTAGCAATTTAAAGCTACTAAATATAGCTATGATTTTCAGGGTAATATAATAAAATGTAGATACAGTTTTAAAAATTAATCTTATGAATTGGGTATCTGCAAAACATTTTATAAAACTGTCAGATAATAAATCTTTCTTAAATTTATTAAAATGTATACATTTTAAGAAGTGCTTTGATTTTTAAATCTAGGGAATAGCACAATTTCTTTATTTTCAGGTTTGCCTGTTCCAGTAACGTGATACTGATGCAAATTTCTAAATTAACACAGCTAGGTAATTTTTTTTACTTGCAAATTGATATCTTAAGATTTAATTTGTGTTTGTGTGTTTGTTTTCCTGTGTTTGTAAGAACTTCTTGTGCATGAATAATTTTCATTAAAAGTTATTAAAATTATGGCATTTTGTATTCTCCTCCAACCACATAGGATGCTACTTCTTACAATCAGGTATAAGCAATCTAACACCAATCATAAATACGTTCACATTACCCTTTCATTGCTGGACTTTCTTGCATAGAGTGTGACCTGACTGCCACTGTAGACAGACTTATAAATTCCACTTAGCAAAAGCTCCCTTTTTAACCCATTGGGGGAAATGAAAAAAGGTATTAATCACTTTTGTACCTTTTTGCTACACATCTTTTGGCAAGAATGGAGGTATATACCATAAATCTCTTTGGCGATCTATTTTATCTCATGAGGAACAATATGCTAGACAGAATTAGTGAAGTATAGAAAAACTTGGCAAAAATGAGTAACTTGTGTGCCTAGATTAGGAAATACCATAAAGAAATGAAAAGAGCCGCCACTTTTCTATTACAGTCCGCTAGTGACAATTCCAGAGGGGGACCTTCTAACTGGGACTTTGAGCATAATAAAATAAGAAAGCTTGTCTTCTATCCTGTAAGGCAAATGGAAACACAGAGAACACATGCCTATCCATATTGATGCCGAGGAGTTTACAAAAGGAAAAGCCAGCCTCCTGGGGGAGCTGCGTGGATCACACATCACTTTTATAAGCCTCCTTTGTGCAGCAAAGCTTCTACCACTTTTTTGAGTAATCCAAAAATATTGAAATCCCACCACCACCTCTACATCACAGCTTCCCTATTTTGTAACACATCAACAAACCAAACTGTAACACTTCAGTACTTACAGCTTTTTTGTTTGTTTTTGTTTTTGGGAGAGGATCTCACTCTGTTGCCCAGGCCATAGTGCAGTGGTGCCTTGATAGCTCACTGCAGCCTCCAACTCCTGGGCTTGAGTGATTCTCCCATCTCTGCTTCCCAAGTGGCTGGGACTGCAGACGAGTGCCACCATGCCTGGCTAATTAAAAAAAAAAATTGTAGACACAGCCATAAAAGAGAATGAAATCATATCCTTTGCCCAGCATGTATACAACTGAAGGCCATTGTCCTGAGTTAATGAAGGAACAGTAAACCAAACACCATATGTTCCCACTTATAAGTGGGAGCTAAATATTGGGTACTTAGTTATAAAAATGACAACAAGAGATGCCGGGGACTACTTAGTACCCAGTGGAAGGGAGGGGTGGATGAGGGTTGGAACACTGCTGAGTACTATGTTCAGTACTTTGGTGATGGGATAAATAGTACCCCAAACCTCAGCATCATGCAGTATACCCAGGTAACAAACTTGCACATGTACCCTCTGAATCTAGAAGAAAAGTTAAAACTATAAAGAAATTAAAGAAAATTTTTATCTGTGGAGATGGAGCCTTGCTAGGATTTCCAGGCTGGTCTCAAAGTGCTGGTCTGGAGTAATCCTTTTGCCTAGGCCTCCCAAAGTGCTTGAATTAAAGGCGTGAGTCAGTGCACCTGGCGATACTTACAGTTTTAATTCTACATTTCTCTAAAACAAATAAGGATTCATTTTATCTCACAATTATTTATTTATGATAGACATAGTGCACATTAAGGGGAAACTGCTTTTCCAGTATTAAAGTGGCTTCTCAAAAACATTGTTAATATGAAAATGTGTCTACTCTGTGCAAGATATGCAATGAGGTAAGTAATTATTAAAATCTGTTAATTGGTTAATAGATACCCTAGAGTCAAAAATGTAACAGACAAGGTAAATCAGAGGAAATTAAATGTTACTACTCAAAAGGTTCATCATAGAAATGAATAGTCCCTTTTAACAGTTGTACTCCTTGCCTGCATGCCTAGGCGTCTGGATTCCAACACCCTGGTTTGTGACTGTGATCTGATGTGGCTGGGGGAGCTTTTACAAGGCTATGCCCAACACGGACACACCCAGGCTACAGCTACCTGTGAATATCCCAGGAGACTCCATGGGCGAGCAGTTGCTTCAGTAACAGTAGAGGAGTTCAATTGCCGTATGTAAATTTCGATGTATGCATAAGATAGAAATGTGTCTCATTTGCTCTCTTTCTGTAAAGGTTTATTATACAATATTGCATTTTAGAAGAGTGTGTTATCTGGAAGTATTTGTTAGGATAAAAGTATGGCCAATTTCCTTTCCATCAGCTGCATTTTCATTTAAAGAAGTTTTTCTCAACATAAACTGTAAGAGCTGAGAGAGTCTTTGAGGAACATTTAATCTAATTTCCATAATTTCAGAGGAGGAATATTGAGAAAGCCGATTTTCAACAACGTCACCAGAAGTGGTGTCCAACATTAAAATCTCCACCTATTCCTTGGTATATGTCTTAGTGTTCATACTCAATAATTTAAGGTTTTCAACTTTAAATCAAATATTGCTAATAGTAGTTGCTGAGAGAGCCTTTCGACAAACCCAGTAATTGATTTTTTAAATGTATAATGGGACCATGAATATGACTAAAATCATTAACATCGGTTTTACCATTTCTCTGCAAATTTTTAAATAATGCAAACATTGGATTTAATAAGCATATGATCATATTCTGACAACCTTACTAAAGCAATAGGCTTTACCTAAATAATTTATTATGGCTGCTTACAGTATTATTTGATTTTAACTTAAAGCTTTTCATATGACTATAAGAATGTATCTCTATTACTATATATATAGGTTTAAATAGAAATGAGTGAATACCTTTGTGTGTGTGTGTTGTGTGTGATAATTCAGTTTCCTGGAGATTCATTCACATGATTGTTGTAATTATAGCCGAAATTTGCTTTCCACTCTCTCATTGGAAAGCCATTTTTTGAATTTCTCTAAGCAGGCAATAAAAAATCATATCAATATAATTCATTTCTACTCAAATTGAGAAGAAAGCGGACTTGGTCTTTACTGCCAAAAAATTATCAAGCTTATCCATAACTCTCATCTTTACTGCTTCTGGTTCAAACCACAGTCCAGTTTTGCTGGATTCCGTTCCATCTTAACTGATATCCCAGCTTTCATTTTTCTTGCTCCTTTATGTTTGGGAAAATTGTTTAAAAACACATCTTATTACATCATGTTTTCACCCATAACCCTTATATAGGTTCCTACCTTAAACAAAAGCACAAAGTTCTTAATGCGGTTGACCCATTTTATACGGTCTTTCCCGGCTACACTCCACTCCTCAATTACTTACTCTTTTCTCTTCTCACTGTTGTAGCCACCTCAGTGTGCTTCATTCTTGGAAGTTCATAAGGCTTTCTTCAACCCAAGAGCTTTTTGCATGCTGTCTTTCCTGCCTGCAATGTTCTGATTCCAATTCTTTTAATGGTCCTCTTCTTAAATATGAATTACGTGGAAAGCCTTCATTTAAACCCCCTTTTCACTGGCCTACCTGTTCTTCCATACAGAATCAGGTCCCTTTTTATAATCCATCAAAATATTGTTTATTTTCCATCTAAGCATTTGTCACATATGTTAATATGTATTTGTGTGTGTGTGTGTGTGTGTGTGTGTGTGTGTGTGTTTATTTTCAATTGCTCCAATGAAGCTGTGAACCCCTGGGTACAGAGACCTTGTCTATTTTAATCACTGTTTCATCACTACTCCTAGTGCTTTGTCGGGCACATAGCTGATGTTGAATTATTTTAAAAAATACACAAATGGATAGAATCATTTTTCTAAAAAGAATAAAGCCAAGATATTAATTATATGGACTTTTAATGAAATAAGCAAGATTACTAAATGTCTACAGAATGTTCTACAGACCTAATAGTAATGGTTAATGACAGAAAATTTCAAATAAGTGCATTATTTGAAATTTAATGCACTTATAAAAGGAAGAGTTTTGTTATTTAGAAAGCTTTAAAAATAATTAGGTGAAACAGTGGAAAATTAAAAGTCCCTTTTGTGCATTGTTCTTTATAATTTAAGTTCATTAATATTACCTGATTCATTACAAAATCAATCACTCCATCTTCTTCTTAAAATAATTTAAGTGTTTTTATGTTTTATCACTCCATCATTATTGAAGATGGAATAATTCATTTATACAGACAAGAATTTTGCTCAACCAGGTTTGCGGTTTGGACATATCACTCCTTGTAAATTGTGTAAAGTGGGTAGTTGGGTGCTTAGATGGCTATATATAGAATAGAAACAGTGCCTGCAAAATTGCAAGCTCAATTTAAGTACGTGCTTTGAAAAATTGACCCATAAAATCAAACTCCTTCCATAAATATGGTTGTATTGAGCTCCTGGAAATAAAAGCACAGAAAAACGGACTTAACTTACTTCAATGGAGATTCCTTTGTGTAGTCAATCTTTCAAACTTCTAAAGTTTAAGTCAAATACATGTCTAATGTTTAACCTAGTACATGTATTACTGGGTAAATGCAGCTTGATGTGTAAAATTCTAATGTAGAAATAAATTTAAATTGTCTATATCTTCTCCTCAACATCTTAGAAGGCCATACTTTTGTATCCTTGAAAAATATAATAATAATTATTTTGTTTCAGAGAGCCCCCGAATTACTTTTGAGCCCCAGGATGTGGAGGTACCATCAGGAAATACTGTCTATTTCACCTGCCGGGCAGAAGGAAACCCCAAACCTGAGATTATTTGGATACACAACAAGTAAATACTGAGCATGTACATGCATTGTGATTCTCTTTCTGATTTCAGTAATATATTAAACTCAATTCAACTTTTTACCTAGAGAAGAAATTAATAAAATTATCAGAGTTTCTTAAATATCAAATTCCTTTTAACTGTCACCTTTTGACTTGCTCAAGCTATCTAAAGTCCTTTTCCTTAAAATTTATACATTTCCAGACATCGGTGTTTCGGAAACTGACTAAACTCATTCTGTATTATTTCTAGAATGAAATGTTGGAATTAATAACAAACCAGTTTGTTTTAAAGCTGAATATAATTTGACATGGCCTCACTAAGTTATTTCAGATTTAAACTGATATTTCATAGTTAACATTGCAATTTTCCTATGGTAAATCAGTATGGATTATTTAAGTAAACTGGCAATGAATGACATGCAAAATTATTTAAAAGGCTAGTCATTTATTTTATGCTCAGGGTACTGTTTGATAAAACATAAAGCCAATGTGTGTGATGTCCAAAAACCTGTGAGTGTAAAATTAAATAGTATTAACAATCTTTTAAAAAGTTAAATGTGATCACCATTCTAACTTGTGTGAGATGGTATCTCATTGTGGTTTTGATTTGCATTTCTCTAATGACCAGTGATGATGAGCTCTTTTACACATGTTTGTTGGGTGCATAAGTGTCTTCTTTTGTGAAGTGTCTGTTCATATCTTTCACCCACTTTTTGATGGGATTGTTTGTTTTGTTCTTGTTAATTTGTTTAAGTTCCTTATAGATTCTGGGTATTAGCTCTTTGTCAGATGGATAGATTGCAAAATTTTTCTCCCATTTTGTAGGTTGCCTGTTCACACTGATGATAATGTCTTTTTCTGTGCAGAAGCTCTTTAGTTTAATGAGATCCCATCTGTCATTTTTAGCTTTCATTGCCATTGCTTTTGGTGTTTTAGTCATGAAGTCTTTGCCCATGCCTGTATCCTGAATGATATTATCTAGGTTTTCTTCTGGGGTTTTTATGGTTTTAGGTCTTAAGCTTAAGTCTTTAATCCATCTCAAGTTAATTTTTGTATAAAGTGTAAGAAAGGGGTCCAGTTTCAGTTTTCTGCATATGGCTAGCCAGTTCTCCCAACACCATTTATGAAGTAGGGAATCGTTTCCCCATTGCTTGTTTTTGTCAGAGATCAGATGGTTGTAGATGTGTGGCATTATTTCTGAGTCCTCTGTTCTGTTCCATTGGTCTATATATCTATTTTAAAACTGAACTGGTAGTTGACATAAAATAGAAACATAAGATGCATTATATACCTAATACAATTCAATGATAGCAGTTGGACAATTATATTATCATTAGTTATATTACTGATAATTAGCATGACTTTCATGTATCCCTTCCATTCTTGCACAAACTTCGCTGATTTTTTTTTGTCACATGTATAATCAACTCTGATTTTTTTGCTTGTCTGTATAAAATACTCTAAAACATTATAAGTAGTTTTTTTTTGCCTTTTCTATATAATTTGGCTTTATAATTGTAGCCAGAAGCTCAGCCATGTGTTTTAAATTCTTGTAAAAAGTCTAGTAAGTGTAGCTTAAAAATACCTTGTATAGAAGGCAATTGTGAATACTGTTAAATCTGGAATCTAGCCCAGGAAAAGACTTCAATTGAAAGAAGTGTTCAATTTATTTCCATCTTGAGATTGCTCAAATGTGCTTGAGAAACAGAAATCACTGCTTGTAACATCTTAAAACTGCTTTTTCTGCCTTCTTAAAAATTTAAATTTTAAAATGATGTGTTCAAGGTTACAAAGGTACTGACTAGTATGTAGAAAGAAACAAGTAAAAAATCACATTGCCTGTCTTAACTTATAAAAGTTTCAAATATAGTGACTAAAGAAGCTAAGATGTATTTGAAAGAAAAACAAAAAGATCTAAAAAGGAAGAATAGAATAAAAAATGTATGGGTAAAATGTTAAAATGTCAATTATTTTATATCAAAAAATTAAAGATGAAAGGGAAGAGTTTATGATAAGAAACGTTTAACATATTTAACATAAGGAACTCTTAATTTACTGATTATTTACCGTATAGTGCTTTTCATAGAAACATAATATACGTCCTGAAAGTGCATGTAGCATCAAGTGTGGTATAGCAAGTAATTTGAAACAAACGTCTATTCAACATGAACCAGGCTGAGAAAAATTACCCCAACTCAGAAGCTACCCTTGTATGCCTTCAATATCTTTATCTTTTTCTACTCCCCTGGAGAGGACCTGGATTCAGGATTTTAGAGGAGCGCATTAAAAACTGACTAGACACAATCAGAGGTAGAATTCGAGGATTAGAAGTTAGGCTTGTGAGAATAACCGGATTTAAGTGTGGTTAAGAGACATGGAGACTATAATACAAAGGTCTAGTGTCTATCCAGTAGGAGTTACAGAAAGACAGGTAGGAAAGAATGAGCTAAGGGCAACATTTGAAAAGGCAACGATAGAATTGTCCAGAAATTTTAAAAAGTCACAAAATTTCAGAATGAGAATTATATTGATTCCAAAATAGGATTTAAAAAATAAATCTAAACTTTTTATTGTGATAACAACATTGAAAGTCAGGGATAAAATATTTCATTCCCAAGTAATTCACAGGTTACCTTCAAATGTATAGCAATTACACTTGCAGTAAACTTTACATCAGACAGAAGATAATAAAATATATTTAGAATGTTATGGGAAAATAACCAATTTCCTTCAATTTTGTATCCAGCTAAATTATCTAACAAGGTAAAATAAAAACATTTTGAGGCAAAGAATAGAGCTTTACTCAGGAATATTTGCTGAAAGAACTACAAATAGATGTGTTTCAGTAAGTAGGAATTTGATCCAATAAGAAAGATGTGATTTGCAAAATGCAAAGGTAAACAAAGAAAGTTTTAAACATGTTGATAAATATGAATAAACTTAGGTTATTAAATTAAGAATTGAACAACTTTAAAATAGGAGAAAGTAGAAAGACAATATTATTAGAAGAATTATAAGGAGAGAGAATGTAGTTAAATTATTTTACCTACCACAATTTTGAGGTGGAGAATGATACTATGAATCCCGTTAAGTCAAGAGTGAATGTTAACAATTAAGTTGAAATACTAACAAATAGAAAGATCTCTCCGTATAGGAGAAGAAAAAAAGTAGATGAAGAAAACTGGATCAATCCAACAAAAGGGAAGCAGGGATAGATTTAAAAGGCAGAGAAAAGGCTTGGGAAAGAGAAAACATAAAATAGCTCATCAGAAATAAATTTAAATGCATTAGTGAAAACAATAGTCTCTTGAAAGACGTAATATTGAATTTTAAAATCCAGCTATATGCTATTTACAATAGGTATACCTGAAACATTATGACACTGAGAGGTGGAAGGTCGATAGGTATACAAATGTATCGACCAAGTTACACTGATCAAGATAAGGATGATGTAAGAATATTATAGTGTAATCGCAAATCATTAGATCATACTTAACAATAAAAAAATGCAATTCACCTGAATTTAAAATTCATGAACCTTTGTATACCTGACAAAATAGCTGCTGAAGAATAAAACAAGATTGAGAAAATTATAGGGATGAATTGACAATTGACATAAATCCAACTACAGTGAGAATTTTTTTTTTAATTTTACTTTTGGTTCTTTGGTACACGTGTAGATCTTGCAAGATTGTTACATAGATATACACATGCTATGGTAGTTTGCTGCATCCATCCCCCATCACCTGCTTTAGATATTTCTCCTAATGTTATTTAATACTGCTTTCCCAGAAAGATTAGGAACAAAAATTAGTAGCAAATTCTAAACAGAGCTTAGAGCACTGACGATATCTGCTACATACAAAGCTAAACCATACTGTCTTTTCAAGCAACTATAGAACAGTTGTCAACATTGATCACATGAAAAAACACAAAATCTACACTCATATCCAAGAATCAATTTCATAAAAACCCCTTTCTTTTGTTATAAACACATTTTAGAAAACATTAGCTTTTCTCTGCAGCCCCAAACAAGACCTGTTATTTTTTGACTTTTTAATGAAAGCCATTTTGATGAGTGCTAGATAGTATCTTATTGTGGTTTAGATTTGCATTTCTCTGATGATTAGTGATGATTTGTCAAGATAATTTTAGAGATCCTTTATACCCCTCAGTAGGAAAATAAAATGATTTCCAGGACTTAATAAGTAATTTTTAAATAACTGAATAGATTCAAAGATGAGAGAAACCTTCCAGGTTGAGGAAAGAATAATCAAAAGCTCAGAACGAAAATAAATGAAGGTTAGTTTCAGGAAAGTGTGTAGAGCATATTTGTGAGAATTAAGGTTTTACCTTGAGGAGAAATAGAAAAAGACTGCATAATATTGGCAAAGCTAGTCACTTTGGCTTTTTATAAACTTTGAGAACCATTAGAAGATGTTGAGCAAGACAATGACTTGATGAAAAGAGACTTAAAAACAAGCCATAGTTTTCTATTTCCTTTTCAACGTTTATTGTAGATTCTGGGGGTACAAGTGCAGGTTTGTTACAAAGGTATTGCATGAGGCTGAGATTTGGAATACAACTGAATCGTCACCCAAGAAGTGGGCATAGTAACTGACAGGTAGTTTTTCAATCCTTATCTCTCTCCCTACCTCTTCATTATGCATTCCCTAGTGCCTAGTGTTCCATCCTTATGTCCATGTGTACCCAATGTTTAGTTCCCACTTACAAATAAGAACATGCAGTATTTGTTCTGTTGCTGTTGTTGTTCCTGCATTAGTTCACTTGGGATAATGGCCTTCAACTGCATTCAGGTTGTTGCAAAGAACATTATTCCTTTCTTTTTTATGGCCACATAGTGTTCCAAGGTGTGCATGTAGCACATTTTCTTTATTCTGTTCATTACTGATGGGAACCTCTGTTGGTTCTATGTTTTTACTATTGTGAATAGTGTCTTTTTAGTAGAAGAATTTATTTTCCTGTGGGTATCCAGTAATGGTG